GAATAAACTGAAGCAGGCAATCAGTTAGCAAAAAATCCAGCAACACATAAAAGAATTACTCATATAAAATCCTACTATTTAATAAATCGTGTTTGCATTATAAATTAAAAACATTTATAATGCAAACACGACTCTTAACCATAACAAGAATTAAAGCTTTTATATGTTTTAAACCATAAAAAAACTGAAACAATATTTTTTTACGGAAAATGCAACAAATCAGGCCGTGTAATTTAAGTAGGACAATAGGGATGTAATATTTTAAAAGCCTGAATAGGAGGAATGTGATATTTTAAGTGAGAGTTTCAGCTTCTTTATGTAATGTATCTATATATATATATATATATATATATATATATATATATATATATATATATATATATATATATATATATATATATATATATATATATATATATATATATATATATATATATATATATATATATATATATATGTATATATATGTAACAACTACTAATAGTTTTCACTATTGTATAAATTTAACTTATACAACATTAAAAACTATTAGAAATTGGTATATATAATATCACAATAGGCTTCTAAACACAGCCTTTTAAAATATTACATCCCCTTAAGTAATTATTAGTTAGGGGGATATTATATTTTAGAAGCCTGCATAGGGAGGATGTGATATTTTAAGAGGTTTTAAGTTTTTTTTTGCTATATATTTAAAGATTACACAAACAATGTTAGATACCTTTTCTTTCTTGCAGCTTGTTGGATGGGAAGGTTTTTAAAGCAAAAATTATTTAGAAAGCTTTCAATACATGAAAACAATAAAAACTGACTTTTTTTTTTTTAGTTATTAGTCTTTTTTTGCTTTTCCATGTTTTAATTTAATCTTAAATTTTATTCAGATTCGATAGAGCTAACATTAAAACATGCAAAATTGTTCTACCATGACATATATAAGGCTTTATACAAGTTAAAGAACTCTAAAGATTCAAAAAGAACACAACGATATTGAGCAAAACAAATTTTTATGCTTGTATTTTTCTTATCGTAGCGCATAAACCTTTTGCTTTAGTTTATGTTTAGTTTATGGATAAGTTTAAGTTTAGTTTATGGAAAATATTGATTGAAAAAAATTAAATACGGATTGTCATGTTGTTGTTTTTTTGTATATTTTTAAGTTTACTTTTTTTACGTCCATCTAAGAAGTCTGAAGAGAGGGGGAGGGGGCAGACTAGACATCAAATTAATCGCTTTTTTCAATGGAAATAATTGTCTTTTTCCTGTTTTTAAACTTTTATAATAAACTTGAAATGTTTTTAAATATCTTATATGGTAAGGCCAAAATATATTTAAATAACTTCTATGTAAAGTAATAAAGTAAAAAAAAAAGTATACATTTAAATAATTTACAAATACTTTACCTATTTTTTAATATTTACGTTAACATTACACTAATAATATGTTTGCATTGTTTTTATCATGGTTTTGTTTGCACCACCATTGTCCCCTTAATTATTTTTTAAAGTAATGTTCTTCTCTTTTACCTATTCAATTTTTAACTCTTGAGTTTTTCAAATTAGTAATGCATGCAGATATGCTCCATCGTTCGAAAGAGAAGCTCAGCGAAATGCAATGATTGTTTTTCCAAAATTAGTTTGATAAAAAGGTTGCCGAACTAAGTTGTCATTTCTAAAATTTTACTTATTTTATTTATTGTACATAAAACAAAGACTATTAAAAACATTGAGCTGATATATATTTAAATTTTTCATTTCAGATTAAAAAGGCCTAGCATGAGCAAATCTGTCTTTAAAATTATTAAGACGAGCAACATGCTTCTGCTAACGATAAAAAGGTTCCAGTTTACTTATATTGGCACTACACCAAGCAATATTTACAGAGTTTAAATGACAATAGATAAAAGAAAAATATAATTGTAATAAACTTTGTTTATTTAAAGCTTTTCTAGCCTTATAGATTACTCCTATACTTTTAGCAATTTTGTTGTACAAAAAATTAGTGTGATAATTCCAGCTAAGGTTTTTATCAACGTAGACACCTTAAAAATTAGTACTTATTTCTCTTTTAATATGGATTTTGTCTATAAAAAGTAAGGACAAGTTGGGAAGCAGTAGTTTTTTTTTAGAAGTCGGATGAAAGGAGTGACCATTTTGTTTTATCCACATTTAGTGATAATTTATTTATTTTGAACCATTTACAAATTTTCGCTAATTCAATGTTCATAGTTTGAAATAATGTTAGAATACCTTTATGCAATATAAAGAGATTAGTGTCATCAGCAAACACGACAGTCAATAAATTTTACGCTTTAGAGTGATCATTGATGTAAATTTAAAAAAAAAGGTGTCCGAGAATAAAGCCCTGTGGAACTCCACAAATTATATTTAATAAACTAGCTGTACCAGTTTCATTTCATTACTATAAACAAACTTCTAACTTCTGTACCAGTTTCTTTTCATTACTATAAACAAACTTCTAACTTCTGTACCAGTTTCTTTTCATTACTATAAACAAACTTCTAAGTATCATTAAAACATTCCCTCTAATTCCATAGTATTTTATTTTTTTAAGGAAAATGCGATGATCAATTTGTCAAACGCTTTTAATAAATCTATGAATATTCTCAACGTGTTTTTGATAAATAAATGAAAATTCTCATCGTGTCTCAACGTGGACTTCTCACAAAAATGCAGCTTTACTGCGAGTAAAATGGAGTATTGCGTGTTCTGTCAAGTAATTTTTTTTTGAACCTGAATAGATTGATATATAGTATATTATTTAAGGAATGGTTATTTTAAATAACTTTATATAAACTTATTTCTAAAACTTTAGAAAAAACAGATAGAACAGAAATTGGGCGATAATTTGTTACATTCGTTGGATCGCCTATCTTAAAAATTGGAGTGACTGTAGCTATTTTTAAATGATCTAGAAATATTTCCTGTTTAATGAACAATAAAAAAAATTAAATATTACATCTATTAAGAGTTCATACAAGTCGATGACAATATTACTAAATATTCCATCGTGGCCAACGGATTTATTTATTTAAACGTTTTAAAAGATTATTTGAATTCCCAAAGTTCATAAGATATTAAGGTTGACGATATCGGATAATCATAAGCATCTATTTTGTTATTCATAAAAGGAATATTTTTAGCTAAATTTGGGCCAACTGATACAAAATATTTTTTCACTCATCGTATATCACAGTTTGTGTAAAATTTTAAAAAATTGTAAATTTTTTAAAGTTAATTTTAAAAAATTGTGTACTACAATTTTTTAATGCATTTTTAATGCATGCAGATATGCTCCATCGTTCGAAAGAGAAGCTCAGCGAAATGCAATTATTGTTTTTCCAAAATTAGTTTGATAAAAAGGTTGCCGAACGTAAATATTAAAAAATAGGTAAAGTATTTGTAAATTATTTAAATGCATACTTTTTTTTTACTTTATTACTTTACATAGAAGTTATTTAAATATATTTTGGCCTTACCATATAAGGTATTTAAAAACACTTCAAGTTTATTATAAAAGTTTAAAAACAGGAAAAAGACAACATTTTGGAAGAATTTTTGTAAAGAATTTTACTTTCCTCTATTTTGGTTTTCAAATATTTGATATATAACTTTTACTTAATTTTAGAGGATATTCTGAGATCTTTTGTGATCCATGGAGAAATTATAGCTTTGGGTTTTTTATATATAGTATATTTAGGAAAATTAACGTCATATAATTCATAAAAAGATTTTTAAAATTATTCATAAACCAGATTAGCATCAGGAAAGGCTTCTAATTGTTTTCAATGAAGCAGAGATAATTAATCTTTAAAAGATTTTAATTTCGCTGTAGTAAATAAACGTTTTTTGAACGTTACTTTTTGTGGAGATATTTTTACTGCAGAAATATTAATTGAGAAAAAACTAGAAAAGTGTTCAGAGATATCACATTTAATTATACCTTTTTTTAGCGATTTATTAAAAATATTAGTTGTTATTATATTGTTTAATGTAGTAGCTTAACTCTAAGTCAACTCTTAAGTCAACTTAACTATCAAACTGTCGTTATAAGCAGGATTTTTAATTGTTGGCGAAATCCTTTTAGTACCATTTGGGACACACTCTAAAGCTTTTGTATTAACTAAATTCCATTTTTGTATTATGTACACAAAGTAAATAAGCCTTAATAAAAGCCGAATATTTTATGTGCGCTCACTATCTAAGTGTCTAAACGTGTGGACTTTTATACATTTTAAGCGCCCACACGCGAGGACAAAAAAAAAAACTAAAAAAAACGTATAATAACTCAATCGTTTGCAAAAGCATTTCGATGACGCTGCGGGCTTAAACGTTATGGGCTTAGAACAGCAATAATCAACATTTTGTTTTTATTTCAAATAAGCAAACTCACAAAAAATCGCAACCCTAAAATTATTTGTGATCGTCTTTTCCATTGATATTTTGTTTCTCAATCCGAAATGCATAATTTTACATTTGTCTTAAAAAACATATATAAGCCAATTTTTTAAACACCACTTTTGAAGTTCTGTATAGTTAGACTAATTGTGAAACGGACTGAAATTTTTTAACCTCACTTGGCCGACTTAACATGGAGTAACTCTGTGATGGCTCGAGAATCAGAGGCACCATAACAACTCAAATAAATGTTAATATGTCCTCATAACTCAAATCAAACCACCCAAATAAACGTTAATGTCGCTATAGTTCTATAAAATTGTTAGTTTAATGGAAAAAAACAGAAGTTTTTTTTTATTTGAAAAAAGCCTCCAAAGATTTTCAAGCCTTTCCTCAATGCCCCTAAAGGTAGGCGTAAAAGAGATAAATGTAAAAATTATCAATTTTTCGAATAATGACATTATTTCTTTCAAATTTTCTGTAAATCAAACTAAGTAAAATGTAAAAATGTTCTATGAAATATAATATAAAAATATAAAATATAAAAATAGAAGCATAAAAATAGAATATAAAATCTATAAAATCTATAAAAATATCTATAATCTATATAGATCTATAAAAATAGAAGCATAAAAATTGTTTAAATTTCGTTTTTTGAACCTATATAATTCTTTAACTCGTTCTTTAAGTCTTTTTTCGTTGATCAACGTTCTTTAAAAGCCTTCTTTAAACAACTTTACATGTTTTAAATGTTAGCTCCATCGAATCTAAAACAAAAAAAAACATATTTAATTAAAAATATAAAAAGCTTAAAAAGACTAAAAAGTAAAAAAATATAGTTCTTAAGTTAAATGAAAGCTCTTAAACTAAATATTTTAGTTTTGAACATCTTCCCATCTAACGAGGCTGCAATAAATAGGAAATCGCTTCAACTATGCGTGGCATATATCTTAACTTAAATTTCACATCCCCCATATGCAAGCTTCTAGAATAATACATCCCTCTAAGTAACTTATAAAATATTGCCAACTATTAGTATTTGGTATCTAGAATTTCACATCCCCCATGTGAAATCTCGATAATGCAATAAGAAACTATGTTCTATATATAGATATTACTTTAAACTAGTGTTATTACAACTTTTAAATAATTTGAATGTCAACTAAACCACCTAATATGTTTTGTCTACTATAATCAACTAAAGCATTTTTGAAATTGAACAAAAAATTTAAGTCAATTTAGTCGAAATTTAGGGAAAAAAATTTTTTTTGAAGAAAAATGTGATAAAACTGATAGAGTAATTTTAATTCATTTTTTATATTTTAAGATCATATCATTTAAATATTAATAGAACAAAACAATATAAGAGCAGGGCCGCTTCAATGAAAAACAGTTTAATCTCAACCTCAATGATTTAGATTTTAATTATTAGTCTTAAATACGTGCTAAATATCAAAAAGTCTATTCAATCATATTTGCAATAGGATTATATAAATGACATTGAGATTTTAGAGCTTCACAATTTGATTATGCCCCAGTACCCCAACAAGTCACCTTAGAACGGCCATGTATGAAAGTATTTTTGGAAATCACAAGAATAAAGAAACAAATTATTGAAATACTTAACTGAAAGTTTAACTGGTTATAAAAATTATTAACATGCTATGAATTACATAAAACAAATAGCTAGTTTCCTAAATTGACATTTGGTCGATTAGTAAGAAATTTAGAGTCAAATTTATTGACTATTTGATTTTTCAAAGTCAATTATTTCCACTTTTTACTAATCAACTTTTAGTCGATTTAGTCAAAGTCGATAACAACACTACTTAAAATATGCATTTTATTTAGACTTCTAAAATAATCCACCCCCTTAAGTAATTCATACAATATTGCAAACTATAAGTATTTGGTATCGAGAATATCACATCCTCGTTTATTTATATATATTGCAAAAGAACGCTGAAACTATTACTTAAAATACCATATTTCAATTATTACTTAAAATCAGGGATGCGAAGTCCAATGTCGGAGTCCATGGAGTCCCTATTTTAGCCAGAAGTCCGAAGTTTAGGAAGTCCAAGAAATTTTAGGACTCCAGGACTCTTTTTTTTTAAAACAGTTATTAATATGCTTAAAAATACCTGATAGCCTAGTCACAAAACACTGTAAAAGAGCATTTAACCTGAAAGCTCATCTCCTTCCTTACAAATTTGAGCCAATACTCAGATTGAGTATCGGTTCAATTGCTATGCCTTGTTAAGAAGTGCTACCAAGCTCGCATTTTACGTATGAAAAGGCCATATGCCTACGCGTAACATCAAGAGAAAACTATAAAAATATTATCATACTTAATGTTAAGCATTATATTAAGTTAATAAACTTTTGTTCACAAATTATCTTGATTTTATATGTAACGATTTTTGTTTATTTATTTATAGTTTTAAAACAATTAATTTTTTTATCCCATTAAGAAAGTACTTATGATTAACTGTTTATTTAAGTATTTCCTCATCATCAAAATTTGAGACCCAGGGGCGATTTTCCTAAAAAAAGGAGGAAGTTAACATTCGACTTACACATTCGTCACTTTTGAAGAATTCATCCTCCTCATTTTATTCACAAATTTGCCACTAAATAATGCGATTTTGTAAGCTTAGTGGTTTTATTTTTTTTTAACATTTATCAAATTTAGAAATAAATGATATTTTAGTGTTGAAGTTGCTTTAATAGTACAGTTTTTTTGTTATCTTTAATTTTTTAGATTGATCATAGAAAGTTGATTAGAAATGATTAACTAGGTTATAAGCAGTAGACGAATATTTTACTAAAGTCAAGTTCTTTAAAAAAAATTGTCGATATATTTTTTGCTTTGTTTAAGCAATGTTTAAAACTCTAACTATAGTAGGAAACTATACTTATAAATAAATGAAGCTTGTAAATACTATTAGAAAAAAAATATCTTCTTTATTTTTTTTTAATTTTAACCCAAAATGGCGTGAGATTTATGTATTATAAATTGATTTTCAGTCTACTCTGGTAAGAAAATAAAAAAGTTATTTTAATAAAAATTTTATTTTCTATATGCTTAATAAAAAATTTCAATGAAAACAATATGGTTTAGATATGACAAGCTATCAAATTTCACTAACAAATTAATTATATGCAATAAAAAAACAAATTTGCGAGTTTGCGCTATAAAATCAAGCTATTGATCTAGACAGTTGGCAAAAAACATACAATCTAGGTCAGGAATAAGTCAAAAAAAGCTTATAAAAATACCTCATAACAAATAAATAAAAATTATTTTGCCCAGCAATTTCTTTTACAGAAAAACTACTAACGTCATTAATTCAAAACTTGTCATTGTAACAACTTTCCTAACTATGCTTTTGTGGGTTGTTTTACAAAAAAACAAAACTTAGAAAAAGAAAACTTAGAAAAAAAAAATAAAAGAAAAGAAAAAGAAGCAAAAATACACAGCCATCAAAGGCTGCACTTTACAGCAGTCCATGTTAAAGTGTTTTGTACCACAGTAAACTAGCTTGCATAATGCAAAAGATGAGTTTTTAAAATCCTTAAACCAGCTGGTTTTGGTTGAAGGTCTTTCATTCCAGGTTCAATTTACTTTTTCGTTAGTAATTATTTTTTAATTAATAAAAAAATCTAAACAATTATATGTTTATTTGGCATTTTTAAATGAACATTTATCATTCTAAAAACAATATTTATAGGCGTTTCATCCGGAACCTATTTAAAAGCTTTGCGTAAAAGTTTCATCTCATTTTGGATTTAAAATGAATAGAGAAAATATGAGAACTCAAATTATCGATCTTGCGCAAAAGCATCGCGAACATATCAAAAATAAATTATCGAAAATGCTAATTTCTTTAAAAGTCGATTCTATATCAAGGCATATGCGCACTACCTCGGTATAAATGTCCAATACTCAAACAGTGATAAAAATGCTGTGATCAATCTTGATACAAAGGAAAAACAAATGGCGGAATCTACAAAAAAAAACTATTGAGAAGTGTTTAGATAAGTTTGGAATCAATAAAACTAATATTTTAGGCCTCAGTGTTGACAATGTAACATATTTGACATGTAAATGTAACATGACAATGTAACATATTTGACATGTATTTGACATGACAAAGTAACATATTTTGAAATTCACTATATTTTTTGTTAATGGAAAAAATTAAAAATTATGTGATTAAAGTTATTATTTTCCATAAAATCATTTAAAAATTAAATTGTTTTGATAAAATCTTCTGTATACTGTAAGGTATATTAACTAAACTTTATATTAACTATGGAAATCTTATTTAATATCTTTAGGTGTATATAAAGTTGGTGTGCAACTTTGGCATCAGCGCTGTTAAGGAAATTATAGATGACAAAGACGATTTTTCAGTAGAAACTGATAAATTTGACGAAGATGGTTATTCTAAACTAGACATGGCGGCAGCAGTCTTGGCAAGTGGAGTTGCCAGTAGCATGATTTTTTTACATCTTCAAAGATGTGCTGTTCACACTTTACAGCTAGCCGTAAATGATGCATTGAAAAGACCCACAAAAAAAAATCTAATTAACCATGCCAGAGATGTTGTCAAAACTGCAACAAATTCGAAGTGGATTGACTTCTTCAGGGACCAGACTCTACATCTTATTCCAATTTTAGATAAGGCTCCTGGTTGGTCTAGCCAGTTCAACATGATTGAGAGGCTAATAAAGGTATATTACAACTTATAACTTCTAAGTTTTAATCGAAGTGTAGAAACCAGTTTTTTAACCGGTATAATATAAATCCAATTATTTCATTAGTAATGACATTTATACTACTTAATAATTTTTAAATGTTAGGTTATGTAAATATTCCTTTAATAATCCTCTTTATTTAAGTAGTTAATAACTTTGTTCATTTATTTAATGAATTCTTCTATGCTTCTAGATTCGACCAGTAATTTAAAATCTAAATATGAAAAGGAAGCTTCGAAAGAATTTAATGTGTGACCATGTTTTTGGGGTATGTGGGAGGAATTGAGAGATGAATTGAGAGATGAAATTCTTTGTTTCTTGCAGCAGTTTACGTTGATATTAGGTATGGCTGTATGCTAACAGCGACTGAAGATAAGGTCGTTTTTTAATAAAATTTTATTTATATATATTTACTGATTTGTTTAACTTTAAAAAATACATATTCCAAAAAGTAAAAATACTTCTATAGATAACTGCAGCTGATGGACTTTGGAAAATATATTACAAACTGATTCAACTCGCTAATGAAAATAAGAATGAACTCAATTAAGCCAAAAAAGCAGTAGAGCCCAACTTTTCTGCAGTTTATGTGTCAGACTCTAGTTCGCAAAGCGTCGACCAAATTAATTTAAGTTGTGTGAACAGGAGGTTTAAGAAAATTCTTCAGAAGAACAAATGCAGGTTCAACAAGATGTAATGAAAAAGGAGTTTTGACTAGTTCTAAAAACAATTCCGGAAATCTGTTTAATGTATAAAGACAAATCATCCAATATAGACGAGTTTTTAAAACTTAAACCATTAAAATCAATTGAGTATTTTCCTAAAGTTGTACCGGATGTCTGCCGTGTTGCTTTGTCGCTACCCATATCCCAAGTTAGTATCTGTTATATATATTATATCTGTTTTCTGTCTTAAAGCACATGACACCACCATCGTAGTCGATTTACATCTGAGTTAATTGATGATATGCTTTTTTTTACGAACAAACAATTTTTTATTTGAACATTTTTTGATGATGCAGGTATTGTAATATTTTGTCCTTGTAACTTTATAATTTAGTGTGTAGTTAATGTAAATATACATTTAAATCTTTATATTTTTATGATCATCTGGTTTCAAATAATCTGAGAAATTGAGTGCGACATCTGAGAAATCTGTGCGTGCGACAATACAAATCAAATCAAAATCTTTGGATTTGTATTATTTTTATAAATTATTATAATCTACCAAAAGCAGGACAAATTAACTTTTAGGTTTAAACAGCCATGGCACAATGATAGCGCACTTTCCTAAAAAATAAGGGATCCGTGGTTCAAACCCACCTTTGGTTATGCAACATTGGTTAAAAAGTCTGGAGTCCATGTGTCCCAAAAAATGGATGATCTTCGCATACCTGCTTAAAATAACACATTTGTATATATTGCAAAAAACTTCTAAAATATTACATCCCCCTAACTAATTTATACAATATTGCAAACTAATAGTATTTGGTATTTAGATTATCACATTCCCCTGTGTGATCTCTGTATAAATTACATAAAGAAGCTGAAATTCTTACTTAAAATATCAAACGCCCCTATGTAGTCTTTTAAAATATTACATCACCCTAAGTAGTTTATATAATATTGCAAACTATCAGTATTTGGTTTCTAGAATATCAGATCCCCCTGTGTAATCTTTGTATATATCACAAAAGTCGTTGAAATTCTTACTTAAAATATCACATGCCTTTATGCAGGCTTTTAAAATGTTCTTACAAAATTTTTACATTATTGAAAACTAATAATATTTGGTTCTTACAAAATTTTTACATTATTGAAAACTAATAATATTTGGTATCTAAAATATCAATTCACCCTTATGCAATCTCTGTATATATCACATAAAGCAGCTGAAATTCTTACTTAAAATATCACATCCCTCCTATGCAGGCTTCAAAAATATTACATCCACCTAGTAATTTATACAACATTGGCAATATTGTATAAAATAAAAATAGTTTGCAAATTTAAAAAACTATTTATCTACAAGTAGCATTTACAAAATTAGAAAAGCTATTTTCTAATTTTATATTTATAATGATAGTATAAATACCATGCATGTCATTCTAGATGTTATTAAAATAGAGTATGCAATTAAAAAATAAAAAATGTGGAACAAAGATAACTTAAAGAAGGAATTGCTCAATAGTAAACAATGTTAATAAATATATTAACATATTGCTTCAAAAAAAATTAATTCATTATAAAATATTTTGAAGATTTTATTATGTGTTCTTTTTGTAACATTAACATTAGTTGAAAAGTGAGGTTTTTTATTATCTAATGATTAGATAATAAAAACTCTCATTGAGTTTTTATTATATTGTTTATGTATTTAAATGTTTTAGACATACTTGATACACTTTTAAGTGCAATAACTTGAAAGTGCAATCATGTTTTCAAAGCGCAATCAATTTTTTTTTGAGGGATGAGATATTTTAGGCAAATGTGATATTTTATAACAGAACAATTTACATTAATTAAATATGAATAAATAAAAATAATTGTATTATAATAAATAATAGTATATTATTTATGAACATTGCTTGTATAGACTTACATTCAATTAATAAAGTTTAATCTTGTGCATTCATTAACTTCCGTCTCTGATTTTTTTTTAAAACATAACCGTAGTTTTCATTTGCCACTTAGTTGTACTTGGAACATCATAACAAGTTGTACTTGGAACATCATAACAAGTTGTACTTGGAACACCATAACAAATCCAAAAGATTATGCTTATATCTTTTCTGATTAATTTAAACTCAATTCACAATTTCAATAGACAGCTTTTAAACTAATTGAAAAATTATTAAATGCATATAAAAACTGACAATGTTATAAATGATACAAATGATGAACAACATTATTTATATAGCTAGTCAAACCTGTCGGCTTATAATGTAGTAACTTAAATAAAATAATAAAGTAAAAATAAAAAGATTTATACACAAACTATTACATAATTTACATATTCTATTAATTCTGCTATTTAATAGTAAAGAAAAAACAAAATAAATATCTGTACTAGATTTGGTCGCTACAAAATCACTACTAGAATGGTTGCGTCAACAAAAAGATAAAAAAAACAACAGAACTAAAATTGAATAAAACGTTTATCTCAAAATAAAGAGTTTAAAAACATAATAAACATTTACCATACAAGAAAGTGTTTCAACGTCAAACATTATTTTGCAAACTAAAGCCATTAAATAAAAAATTAAAAAAGATAGTATTATTTAAAAGATAGTATTATGTTATTTCTTTTGTGCATTAGTTATCTTATCTTATCTGATACATTGCATTTCTAAGCACTGCTTATCTAATACACTAGTTATCTAATGTACAATAAAACTAAAATATGTCTAGTAAATCAAATATACATTAAAAATCAAACTGATTCAAATGACTTGCTTTACTATTGCAAGTTGTGCAAAGTAAGCAAAGCTATTGGCTAGAATTTAGACTTCACTTCAAGACCAAGACCAAGATAATTGAACATGAGTCTCAAGACCAAGATTTTAGTCTGAGAACTCTTATAATATTAAATTATTATGCATTATAATTAATATAGCTGGAATATGATAAATTTTATAATACAAAATGCATACATTAATCATATTCTAGCTATTGCAAGTATGCCTAGTTGTTTATATATGTATGTTTATTTTGAATCATATTAAATAAGATGCATTATAAAAAGCATAATTTATAAACTTATTAAAATCATAAAAACAGAATAATGTAAAAAATATTATTTCCTCAAGTTACTAATGATTGTAACCCTATCACGGCATCTTTAAACGCGCATCAATAAAACCTATAAGCTATGAAAAAAAAAACCATGGTCCACTTAAAGAAATTCCATGGAAATAATTTCATGGAAATTTTCTCATGGAAATTCCATGGAATTTCAAATTCCATCGTTTTTTCATAGAATTCCATAGATTTCCTATGAAAAACACATGGATTATTTGCGTAAGGCTGGTTTCGACGCATTATTGTTGGTGTTTCATTACGTGTAACCTTTGTTTTTTGAGCTTTTATTAACTTGTGACACTTGTTTTGCTTTATATCTTAAAAAGATACTAAAAAAAAGTTTATGATAAATGCCTTTATTATAGAATTGTTATATAGGTAAAATTAAATTTTGATGCATTTAAAGATATAATGGCATTTAACGGATTTGTCAAAATAATAAATATACTTGTTTTTGGCCTACGTCAAGTGCAACTTCAAAGTAAGATATTTAAACTTTATGTTTTACTAAGTGAAAAAAATAAAATAAAAATTTGTTTACTTTGACGCTTGCTTTTTTGATGATGCAAGTTGTGTATTTAATAATGAAATTAGAATAGTATACCAGGGCCTTAACCTTTAAAACTTTTACAATATTGTAAACTTTACAAAGTAATTACGCCGAAATTTTGTAAAATTTAAGCCGTCATATAAAACAATGACGATTTTATGTAATTGGCGTTTTTTATGTAAAATCTATAAATATATCTCGCAAAAGCGATTTGAAATTGCGCGCTTATTTAACTTTAAAAAACAACAAAACAAGAAATTGCTTTAAAAACACTTATAAACCAACATAGGAAAGTTTAAAAAAAAAAAATGACCTATTTTTGAAATAAATTTTATAAAAAAAATTCGCATTATTTCTGCAATGATAAAAATATTACAATTCGGTTTTTTCGAGAACTAAATATTTATTTAGCCTACAAATAAATAAGATAAAAACCTTAAAAAAAAGAAGAATAATACACTACCAGCAAAGTTAGTGGATGGGAATAAAAAAAATGTTTTAATTTTCAAACGAGGCCTGTATGGTTGAAACATTAATTACACTTTACCTTAAGTTAAGTGAGAAAACGGGTTTGCACTGAATAACTTGTTATTATTGTTAAATCTGTTTTTGAATTTTAAAGTAACCATCTTGGTTTTAATTATAGCTTTACTTCCTTGAGGCGATCGTAACCTTACTTCCTTGTGGCAAATTCTTAGCAATTTTTGCAAAAACCAAAAGCATAATTTAATATTTTTATAATCCTATATAAAGGAGATTGTTTTCTATCAAATAATTACATGAAAACAAAGTAAAAGAAAACTAACTTTTATGAGAATGCTTACTAAAAAACAGAAAACTATTATGTTATGGCTAATTTCATTTTGCATTAACTGTTATGGCTAATTTCATTTTGCAAAACAAAGAGAAAATGATCGGTTCTCTTTCACCATTATGCAACAATCAAGATAAAAAAAAAAATGGCAAGAAGTTAGAAATCTTATTATAGCTCACGGTCTTTCTTCCACTGCAAGATCGATTGCCCAGAATATACCAGCTCTATCTACAAGTACTAAACGTTCTGTAAGAAGCTTATTTTATAATAATCATTTAACTTTTGCTATAATGTATTACTGTATCTTTCCATGTGCCAAGTTAATAACAATCTAGTTTGTGTTAAGTAGTCACTAAAATATTAGTGTAACTTTTTAATTTTTTAAACACTTATTAATTGATATTATCATATGTATGCAAAAATTTATTTTAAATTGTAAATGTCATAAAACAAAGTTTAAGTGTCCACTTTCACATATTTTTTTAGGCATCTTTAAGTAAAATTGTTTAGTCTTTGACAAAACGACCGGCATCATCGTCATCTAACGTCTTTTCGGATAATGAGTACGGCACATTAAAGAAAGCCAAAATCAAGCAGAAACTGGATATGTTAAATAAAGAGGCTGAGTACAGAGCTGAACGTCATCTGATGGAGAAAATTCGGTTTAAGGCGAATATTGAAAAAGTTATTCTTGAGCAACAACTTCTCCGAGCTCAAATCCAGTCTTTAACTCCTCAAGACGCCCAAACATCCGAACCAAATACTTTCAGTTTTAATAAATCATAAAAACTTCTATATTCTTTATTAAAGTTTTATTACAGAACTTTATTATATAGTTGCAGCAATTAAACTGTTTAAAAATTGTTGCCTTAACAAATTTAAAACTTTTTATAGTTATATTAAGGAATATATTATGTACTAACTCTAGTTTAAAAAATCTGCAAAATTTGAAAGCTGCTAAGTGGTTAAAGAATATTTCAATACAAGTTACTTAAATAAGGGTCTAGTAAAAATTAAGCAAATGTTGAAACTCCTTAACTCCAAGCTCCCATATACCCGAACAAGACAAAAATAAGTACATACAAAAATTTCTAGATATTACATTATATTAGACAGCTTTTTATTTTCCTTTCCAATACCAATGGTATAAGTAAAAACGAGGCTCCATGTATACGGCTACTTTCTAAGAAATTAAACTTTATGTTCCATAGGGTTGAAATTGGTTATCAGCTGTCCAATATAATGTAAATCTAATTTTCTAATAAGATGTTAACAAGAGAAAAACTCTTAAAAAAAAATTTAATAAACTGTGTTTATTTATATCAGTTAAACAACTGCAGTATTTGATCCGTGCGAGTACCTGATTGAATTTCAGCTTGAGTGTCGTCTTAAGCTTGAAAGGGCAAAGGTGTGGCAGGTAAAACTGAAAAATCTTCATCCTTATCACCAACTTTAAGGCACATGTTGTGAATCATACAAGAACAAACAACAAGTTTTGCAGCATTTTCTACTTTAGAAAATCAAATAAGTACTTGCAGAGAGTAAAACCTGTTTTTCAAAATCCCAAAACATCGCTTAATAATATTTCTAGTTTTTTGGTGCACGTCATTGAACAGACGCTTGGAGGCTGTTTGGTTGTCACTGTAATGTGTGGTTAGCCATTTGTTGCAGGGGTAGCCATAGTCATCTAAGACAACTGCTCCAGGAAAAATTTGCTCAACCCTGACCTCAAAAGTATTCTAAAGTGCTAATTGATATAACACCTAAAATGTTTGAAAAAGAAATCTAAATTTTTCAAACTTGCTGGTTATTAATATACTAAATACTATAAATTTGAAAAATGGAGAAAATATAATATTTTGTAGAGTATAAATTTTATCGTTTTTCAAAATAAAATATCAAAATTATTCATGTATAAATAATTTCTAATTTAGATAAGAAACAAAGTCCATGAAATAAAAAACTTTACAGAATTGTTTATTTGGATGTTACACTAGTTGTATGCATATCTGTTTACTTTTTAAAATATTTAGATAATTAATAAACTAAATCTAAATAACATTATTAAGCTAAAATTTATTTTATACAAATTCAGTTAATAAAAACTTACTCTAGAATCATGTCATCGCCCAGTTCCATCAGCGTAAACATAATAAACATACAAATCTGGTCCACAAACGTAAAAGACATTCAATGATTAAAACTGGTGGCGATTGAGAAATACATCTTCACCTTTTGATGTAGGGATGATTGGTATGTGACTTCCATCGATGTAACCACACACATACACTTGGAATCTGTGCCATAGAATAAAACTTACTGGGAGGGTGTCAACAGGATGAGACTAATGAATAACTTCCTCTCGTTGACAAAACAAACTATTCAAAGCTGCATGAACAGCTTGATTGCTGGAATGTTTTTCAACACCATGATCTTGCATGATAAAATGAAGCAGCTCCTGAAATTTAAAAAGTTTTTAACTACTTTAAATATAAAAATTCCATCCATACAAAAACAAAGAATACTACATCAAAAAACCAGTTTTACAGAAACAAAACAAAAATTGGAACTTTTAGAATCTTAGAAGTCTTTCCAGTTATATTAAATTGAATTTTTAATAACACCTTGAAATTTACATAATCCATATTTTAACTGTTAAACCAAAGTAATCATTAAATTGTAATAACATAAACTCAAAAAATATATAAAAAAATTAACTTGATATCTTGGGGATAAATCTTTATTTCCTAAAGTCAGATGATGAAGATCATCTTCAAGCATTTTTTTAAGCTCATCCAGAACTGAAAGCGGCACTTTACACCTTTCACAAAAAATAGCATCAGATGTATTGTCTTAAAACTTGCCTTCCTGAAACTAATATATATATACATATATATATATATATATACATATATATATATATATATATATACATATATATATATATATATATATATATATATATATATATAATAATATATATATATATATATATATATATATATACTATATATATATATATATATATATATATATATATATATATATATATATATATATATATATATATATATATATATATATATATATATATATAAATATAAATATATATATATATATATATATATATATATATATATATATATATATATAAATATAAATATATATATATATATATATATATATATATATATATATATATATATATATATATATATATATATATATATATATATATATATATATATATATATATATATATATATATATATATATATATATATATATATATATATATATATATATATATATATATATATATATATATATATATATATATATATATATATATATATATATATATATATATATATATATATATATATATATATAGATACATGCATGTGTGTATATAAATACATGCTCATTTTGAGTTAATGGTTTTTCAAAAAAATTGATTATCTTTATCAAAAAAAATTGAATTGTCTTTGTATTTTAAATAAAAACTGTTCTTTATAATTAAAAAATTGAAATCTAAGAGCAAAACACAATTGCTTTTTACCAGTTGAGGATGTCTGTCTGTAACACTTTTTTGAAAATCCAAGAAATCTTTAACATCTTACTCTGACTCAGAATTGTTCCTTTTACAAGTTTGAAATTTGATATCTCTCAGATATCTTTTCAAAAGAAATATGAGTCAAGTTATATTTCTTGTTTGTTTCTTTATTTGCCATATTGGTCAGTGCAAAAGACTCTTTTGCACTGACCAGATTTCTGAAATAGAACCAACAGATAAAGAATAGAAAAGAAACTAACTAAAGAATATTAATAGACATAAGAAACAACATGCACTCTGTAGTTTTTTTTAAAAGAAAGTAAATAGTTATAAAATATGTTATTCTTTAAGCTTATGCTTCAAGTATTTATTTGCTTAGAAGAAAAAAAGTAGTTATAAAATATGTTATGCTTTAAGCATATGCTTCAAGCATAGTATTTGTTATTATTAATATTAGTATTAAATAATATTAATAGTATATTAATTTATTTATACTTATAGTAAATACTATTTTATTTATAACAATAGCATACATTTAATATTAAATACTAAAGTATGCATTGCATGCTTATGCATACTTTAAAGAGCATTTCTTGCTTATGCATACTTAAAAAACTTTGCTTGTTTATGCATACTTTTGTATTTAATATTAAATATATGCTATTAATATAAGTAAATTAATATAATATTATTACTATTTAATACTAATATTAATAACAACAAATACTATTTGTAAATACTTTAGAGAGATGAGCATCTCACTAAAGTATTTTCAAGTAGTATTTGTCATTAAATAGTAATTTTTTTTAACAAACACTAAAAAAACAAAATACTTAGAACTCTACATACATAAGAATCTCTAAAAAGAGTTTTAAATTTTAAAAAATGTGTATACGTACTGTTAGCAACTCTATTAGCAAAATGTTTAATATGGTTTGCAGTTTAAAAAACCGTTTTGCTTTTTAAATAACTTTATATTAAATTATTACATATTTTGAATGTTTAAAGTAAGTAAACCAAATACAAAATAATAATTATTTTCACTACTTTACTTATTTTCAATATCTTTGATATTTTTTTTACATTTTTAACTCAATAAAATTCAATATTAATTACAATTTTACACACCTCTTGGGCAGTGTAAAATTGTAGTTTACATAATTGTAAAATTGTAAACAAAAAATCACCGTAAACTTTTTATAGGACTGTGTAATTTTACAATGTAAACAATGTAGCTACATTGTAAAAATTTACATGGTAAATTCGCTTTATAGGATAGGCCCCAGGGGTCAATGTTATAAAACTTTTTATCGGCGTAAAATGCTACCGGCAAAATTTTTACTCTGGAATTTTTACAGTTGTAAATTTAGAGACATAAAATGTTTTTTCATTCGATGCACAGTGTATCGCAGTATCATACAAGCAAGGTGGACAAAAATATTTTGTTTTATAACTTTATTTCTAAAAATGTAGTTAACGATATTTCGGTGTTTTTTCGATTAGTTATGCAGTATGGTAATCTGGGGGAGACAGGGGGCAGTTAATCCGCGCATTTAAGTTTAAAGGGGGGCCAAAAAGTCAATTTTACTATAAAAAGTATTTTTTTTAATTTTGTTGTAAAAAAGGCGACATTTCAATTACTTTTAAATTTTTAAAAAATTTTGTTTTAAAAAAGATAATCAAGTAATAAAAATAAATACTAAATTTCAACACATAAATAATGTAAACAATTTTTGCCTAAAATAAAAATATACTCACTTCAAATATACAAAATATAAAAATATACTCACTACACTACGTAAAATAAAAAAAATACTTTAATAATAAATAATTATTATTGGATGAACCATTGTTATTTTCACTACCCGATAAATTGAACTCTAAATAATTTTCATCTTCACACAATTCTATTTTCAACAAGCTGTGGTGGTATTATAGGTGCGATAATTAAATTAAAAACTTCCAACGGTAGTTTACCAGTTTTCTCACTTGACAATTCTCTGTGTGAGTTGATGACAGGATCTGATGTTACTAAAAGCATATTGAGCAAATCTATATTTGTGCAAACACGCGAATTTTTTCTTGTATGGTGTTCGCGGAATCGACGAAAATATCTACTGCGGGTTTCTTGAGACTTTTCCGATAATTGTCATATTGGAAGAAGGCATGTTTTTATAACTTCCGTGCTATGTATAAGTATTTTGCGCGCAGTAACAGGCATATAGTACCACAGATACAGAATAATATAAAGAGTTTTGGTTTCAGAACAAAGCTTTTCAAATTCATAATAGTTAATATCATAGCCAGAGGAAAGTGTTCTTAATAAAATACTGAAATTTTTAACGAGATTGATGTCTAAACCCGTAATCTCGCCACTCAACTCTGGCTTCATATAAAACCTGCGAGCTGCATTCCCATCATTTGTGTTCCCAAATCCAGGTTTTGGCTTATCTATAACAAGGCCCATATGCTTTTTAAATTTTTGTTTGATATCTTCTGAACGTTTTAGGACACTAGATTTATCTTCATCGCTTCTAATTTGCCACTTTTTTATATCTAAACAATAGCTAATGTGTAGTATGCACTCAAAACAACAAATCCACGCATGCAAAGTAGACAGACCAAAACCACAATGTTCTTTTTTAACAACTAAGTCTTTTAGTTCACCGTTCATCATTTTAGGAGTCGCACCACATATGTAACATTTTTGTTGAGATTTTGTGTCAGTCAAAGCATTGCAAACTTTTCCTTCTATCATTGACAGTATTAAGTCGTGTTTAACAGTAATTTGAGATTAGTTAAGTCTTATAGACGTAACTAATAAGTTGGTAAGTTTCTGTTGTAGTTAAAAAACTTGTTTCTTTTAAAAAAATAAATTTAATTGGTCGGCAATAAAGCGTGGATGAAGGTCGTGGATTTTGCAAAATAATATTTTGACCGTCACTCAGTCTCAACGGAACAAATGAAAATACAAACAGAAACTCATCAGTAGCATCAGAGTTTTTAAATCTCTGTTGGTATGTGCTGTGACCAGAGCTCCCATCACATCCATATTTGCTAATTAGTGTGAATGGTGTAGTAAAAGTAATACTTTAAAGAACATCGCATTGGGCTTCAATTAGGCGTTCAGTAGTTTTATTAAGTATAGCTTGTAGGCTAATTTCGACACGTGTTTCTGTAACAGAAATATGTTCATCTAATGGATAACATAACTTTTTCTTAATTAATTATAAATTTAGAGTCAATTTAATAAGCTAATGCCTCGTCACAATTTAACTGTCTGCCTGTTTTTCTTATTAAAGTAGCTTGGTTACTGTGCCTAAACACACGGCATGCTACTTCAGCAGCTGTCGTCAACTCAGTTGCACTTTGCAATTTTACTAACTTTTCAACCCTTCGTTTTTTGGATTTAAAGTCTTCAAAGTTCTTTTTTGGTTGTCATTGCTGGTATATACTTACTTTATTTCTAAAACCTCTGAAAAAAAGAGAATCCAAAATATCTTACCTGACCTATTCATTGACAATACAATCATAAAAAGAGAAAAATTTACAAAATTTTTAGGAGTCATAATAGATGAAAACTTATCTTGGAGTCAGCAAATTGATAGTATTTCAATGAAAGTTGCTAAAAACATAGGAGTTCTATACAAAGCTCGATATATTCTAAATAAAAAGCAACTAACTCAATTATATTATTCATTTATTCATTGCCATATAAACAATGCCAATATTATATGGGGAAGCGCTCACAAAACCAAACTTAAATCTCTTTATCAGCATCAGAAACACGCAGCTCGCATAATTAATTTTGGAAATCGTTTTTCAAGCTCAACACCACTTCTTATAGAAATGAAATTTTAAATATATACGAACTAAATATTTTTAATATTTTATCTTTTATGTTTAAATGTAAAGAAAATTTATCTCCAAGTTTATTTATAAATCTCTATAATTTGAAACCAAAAAACAAATATGAATTTCGTGATAGTAAAAATATTCAAGAGCCGTTTTGCAAAACAAAAATTGACCAGTTTTGTATTTCTTATAGTGGTCCATTTCTTTGGAATAAAATAGTTTTACCTAACTTTGATTTTTCTTTGAAATGGTCTTATTCCTCCTTTAAAAAGAAAACAAAAGAAATATCTTTTCAACACAAAATATATTTATTTATTTTTAGTATTTTAAGTTATTTGATATTTTTGTCGACTGTGTGATGAATATTATTTAAATTATATATGCTGAATACTTTATATTATAATATTGTTCAATATTGAGAATGTTATATATCCATATTATAAAATATTATGTTAAAACTTGCTTAACATTTGAAGAATATTCTAAAGCTTATCTAATTTTTATTATTTGTAAATTTTCTACCTTTTAATTCGTTATATAGATTGTAAAGGGCTTCATGATAAGATCATGTGATCTTCTGGAATTCCTACCAGTAATATATTCATTGTAAATTTACCTTGTACATATTTTTCTGGGAAAAAAAACTTGTTAAACTAAATTTAATTAATTTCTACATTTGCCCCCTCTAACCAAATTTTATTTTTGTTTGCAAAGAGGTCCATCATCATATATGCTGCAGACCATTTTATTGCAAATTTTAAAACCCTACATGAAATTTTTAACTGCAAAGACCTCTCAGAATCTCTAGTCACATCAGTTACATCAGTAACACCAAATCTTTGAAAAATAAAATCCAATAAATGAGAATCTCTTACTTCATTATTATGTCTTCGCCATTCTTCAAATAACTCCATTTTTGAAAAAGAGCGCACATGATCCAAATGAAATTTAATAACAAAAAGTTGTGGATTTATGTGGTGAAAATTTTTTCTTTATTGTACACATTAAAACTTTAGCTATAAACTGTTAATAAATTAACTTGGATACATGTGGATACAAAAAGTTGTACAAATTTAAAAATTAAAAACCAAAAAATATTTTACAATTTTTACGCAGTTTTTTAAACCATATTTTAACACATATTACTTAACCTTTAAATAAAATATTTAGTATAATTAAATAGTACTTACCCTCAAAAGTAAAATCCATCGCTGCATTAAAATGATTTCGTTCTTTAATTCTTCTTAAATGTTAATGCAACCATTGTAAATTTTTAACTAACTATTTTCAAAAATGAAATTACATTTTAACGCTTTTTTAAATG